CCCCCCCCGCCATTTGAAGATTGGAAAAAGCCAGTCTGTATTCTCTTTTCAAGCTTGCTTTCCTGACTCAGAAGCTCACAAGGCAGGCTCTACTTCAAAAGATGAAGAATGTAGCCGTTCTCCAAAGGGCAGGTAAAGCACAAGCACTCATAATAAAATCTCTCCTATTTATCACCATCTCTCTCCAGCCAGATTTTGACAGTCATAAAAAAACCTCTACTCACTGCGATGGCGTTTTTGTGTGTACTAGATTAAGTCCATAAAATCCTGTCATAAAGTGCCACATAATAAACTGAGGTCTTAATCAAAAGCAATTAAAATATCTATTTTTGAAGGTAGTAACATGTTCAAGCAAGAATTACATTATATTTTCTAAGCACATTTTTTAAAATCACAAATATACATTTTGACTTAAATATTGAGTTCAATTTACGTATATTAATATGTATATTACAGACTGCAGAAAATGGTAAAATTTAGTATTGCTGTATGAGATGAACACTATGTATTTGCAGATGTACACTCAAGTATTATGCCATTAATTTATATAATTTAACCATGTAAACTTCAGCTTGGTAAATATTTGCCCTAGCATGTTGATATTTGCCTGAGCATATTTAATAGGCATCATTGCTTTCAGAGGCTTCTTAAACATTCCTAATAAAGCCACCATCTTTAGAAACAAAATGAAAACCACACAAATATGATAGCATTCAGGTTGAGAACTAGATCCTTCAGTCCGAAGCCCTTTCATTTGCAAGGCGTCAAGATTTTCAAGTAAGATACCCACATGCAAAACTATTACCATGCAAAACTACTATCACAGTGTTTCAGGCCAGATCCCAAACTGGGAAGTTTCCTCCCTACACCCCCCCGGCCCTGCCACCCCCATCACAAGCAGTCAAAACTCATGCCATATTCATTATCCTACTGACACGTCAGGCAAAAACAGAATAAAAAGCAGAGCAAACAGATTAGGTAGTTGTGTTCATTTCCAATGATAACACAAACGCTTAGGTAGGTCACAGCCTCCAGGCATCCCACTCTGTCTTCCTTTACTCTGCGGTACTCTCCTCCTACCTCCACACAGTCATCCTGCAGTCCCTGTGCTTCCCTCATCGTCTTTTGGGAGCAGAGATGTTTACAAAAGCACGGGGAATACTCACACTAGCTCACAGAGAACAGACACTTCCAAAACGGCAACACACCCCTCAGCAGAAAGGTTAAGGCTTCTTCTGAAGAGGATTAAGGCAACCCTCAAGACCTTAGCATTAACTATTACTCTTCGGTGGCATCTCTGACATTTTTCTAGTCTGACCAAGAGGTCCACCATAAGTGAGAGACCCAGAGCCTTCAACCCCCCCGAGGTGGTCTTGGCTGCTTACCCTTCTTCGGGATCTAGGGTTACAGCCCTAACAGCACCAGCAGGGCTAAATAGTTTCAGCACTGTTAGGTCTTCTCCTTGGAGCTGTAAGCTGTGGTGACTGAAGTGATCAAAATAGCCTATTTAAATGAGGTAGCCTTTTATGTCAACAACAGGACAAAGAATGACTGAAGTCAAAACATTGGCTAAATGCCAAAACAATGATGAGAGAAGAGTCTACTGAAAACCAGGCCTAATTAGTTCTGGTATTCACGACTGCTTTTTAATACAGTTTAGACACGCATCTTACTTTTGATACACAGTTTGTCCTTAGGACATGTCAGCTTCTGCAGCATTTTTTATTTTAAATCTTACTCTCTGTTGGTCCTCCAGCCTTTTTTACCCATTCATAATTCTTTCTCCCAGTTCTCCTGCTCTGTACCACTCTTGCTACCACCCATCACCACCAAACCAAACTACAGAACTCAACAGGGCTGGTAGTAAAATAAAATAATAGTAAAGAAATTAATGATTACTGTCCTGTAAATACTGACTAGCTAAATGAGACAATCTGAAGCTGCTGGGTGTATTCCTATGGCATCTGACAAAGTAGTCCCTGCTTGAATTAATAAATTCTTTTCACCAAGCAAACCACACAAACAAAAGAAACACACCCTTCATGTAATACTGTGAACATTCCCATTACAAAGAGCTTTGCTTAAGGAGACTCCACAAGGAATCCAGTTATTCCCTGCCTAACCATCTTGCAGACAGAGATTATAAACCGCTGTTTCAGATCTCATCACCTTGCAAAATAGTAGTTTACAACATTATGCCAGAATGGAAACATCAGCAACTCTTCTCAGCTCTTGTTTTTGGAAAAGTAATGTTTAGCACCCTCTTTGGGCTTCCAGAAACAGATAGAAAAAGCCCTCCAATTCCATAAGATCAATAGATGCATTTGCAGTAGACCAGAGAACTGACTCGGCTAAACAGATTGTGCTGCAGGAACTGCATTGAACCTGCATGAGCAGGCAGATTTTGCTAGCTTAGGCTCATGTTGACTTGCCTTAGTGGAATTCAGACTCCTCATTACTACAAATAGGTCTTCATTTTACTAGTTGCACAATCTATTCCTTTGGGATCTTCCCCCCCTGCAAGTTTCTTCAAATTAAACACACATGGATACATATAATGCGTATCCACAGTAAGTCAAGCCGCAAGCTAACCACAAAGCTAACAGAACCTTTGCTTTTTGCGGATGTTTGAAGTCAAATCAAAGCATGACGCTACTGGCAGACTGTTTCTCAGCAAACTAACATCTGCCAGTAAAAAATACAAATAATGTTAAATGTACCTCCTACAGTTTCTTTAGTAAACACCTGTTTTTCTCTTCTTGGCAAGCCATTTTCTTCTCAAATATTTAGCCAATTTTCAAATCTGCTAACTCAAGGCATCTGAGCAGCCATTAAACAAGCACCATAAAAAGCCACTTGAAGAATCAGAAGACAAGCCAGACAGCCTGGACGCACAGCCAATATGACCAAAGTAGGCAGGAGAAAAGCCACTGAGCTACCCAGCCTATGAAAAAGAGAATGACAGTAAAACACATGATCCTGCAGATCACATACACACGAGCTGCCTGAAAAAGAAACAACTATTAGTCAACTAAAAATAATGCCTATAGTTTTCACAAAAAAAAAAAAAAAAAAAAAAGGTAGCACTTTGGCAAACTACCTTCTAAAAGTAGTTCCACAGCAGCTGAAGTACAACCTAAAAAAGAGGGATGTTTTCGCAAATCAAAGTTTAGAGGACAAAACCCAGCTTAGTGAGTTCCACACCCACACTAGCTCCACGCAGCCCTATGAACTAACAGCAGAAGTCCTCCCAACCAACCATACATGCTGGAGGTTTAAGTTACATGAGAAACAGTGTTGATTACTGAACTAGTGTACAGCAACAAAGCTTTCCATCTGTGTTCCATATGAATGAACCACATACTGGAAAAAGAACAACGCTCAAACCTATTTAGCTGTATTACAAAGATTTTTATCAAGCTTGATGAAGCTAACAATGGTGTCTTTCCTATCCAAGGCTTCTCTTTGATACCCAAGACACACCCAGCTTCTCTCAGATTCAGATCATAGTTCCACATGTTATTGTGGTATTTCTTTAATTATTTAGCTGCCTTCCACATTATTGATCAATATTCATATTCTATATTGGTCAAATGCTTTTAATTTGTTTAGCTCAAACAAATGTTAACTTCATTATTCATGCCCTCAGCCAACGTCTTTTGAATTTATTTATTTATTGTTAAGTCTTTAAGAGAATGCAAAAATATTTCTAATTGTTATGACATGATGCCCCTGTACTGGTTATCAATTTTAAAATGACCTCTATACCAGCAGAGAACAGAGAAACACCACTTTTTCTGAAAAACTTTCACATTGCGATACAAATGATAATTCACTCGCAGTAAAGGGCCATTGCCCTGTGAATAACTGGAATGTTATGCTAAACAACAAGAGCACTAAGTCTTCTTAAATCACAAGATCTGGTAAATATATTCCTCATTCACTGAATAACAATGGATGCATTATACTTAGTTTTAGGCATTTGATTCCTATCTCTTCAACAAAATGCCTTTTAAACTTCTGGCTGTACACAGAGCCAGATGCTGTAGGTGTCCACACGGAACCCCCACAGATGGCACAACGCTGTAGAGAGAGCCACAGTAATTTTTGGAGGCTACGCTGTACAAATGGGATTGGAAACCCAACTACTAACTTCTGAAACAGAAGCCACACAGACACAGTAGATAGTTTAAGCTTAAGATAAACATTTCTTTGAAAAATATGAATTGATTCAATTTAATTTCAATTAACTGGACAGGTAAATGTCTAAAAGGAGGGAAGTCACTGTGTCAGATAAAGACGGTGGCAAAGAAAGATAATCCATTTGCTCATTACCTTCAGGAAGAAAGGGAAATATAGCGCAGCAAAAGCCCTGGAATTTATCTTGAAGGTGAAAAATGTGATTCATAGCAAATTTGAATAAAATCAGAAACACAGCATACGCACATTGTCCATTGCTAGTAATACACCACTACATTAATACACAGAAATTAATTATGTATATGAATATATTATTAGCAAAGTCTATACCTTTGTTACATGTTTGATTGAACCAACTATGAGGTTTCTTCGACGATATTTCACGCCTGGAAGATCCCAAAGGTGATCCAGCACAGTCTCTCCTTCTTCTAGTACATATTTCCGACCCTGGAACTTCGGTTTCTCATAAAAAATCCAGCTGTAATAATGATATCATGAACTGAGTTGTTGCTGTTAGGTAAGACTGTCCTTATACAGCACATTTGCTTGGAAAGCTCAGTAATGAGCTCTTCTTATCAAGCCAACTATCAGACCTTTCTTATGCTGTCCCTCAGTAGTCACATTCACTTTAGATAAATACGTGATTTGTACTTCTGTGCTTTAAAAGTAAAATACACAGTTCTCCTCCAGGATGTAGCCTAACATAACTTAAAATATTAACTGTATAAAAATACAGCTAAAACTCAATGTAAATAAAAAGCCTTCTTTTACCAGAACAAATATATTAATTGACACATCAAAACACATCCTTTTCAGACAGATACTGTGCAAGGCATAAAACATATACATACTAATAATGGCATTCCATATTTCTTAGGACGTGAAAGAAATGTATGCAAAACCAAATAAGGCTGCCTCAAAACTGCATAAATGTGACATGCATTGTTACTATGGCTGACAGTCAGAAACATTCACTGTAAGTGCCACCAATTAAATTCCAATGCAACAACTCACATGGTCCCAGCCCCAGCTTCCCAAAGCAAACCAAGAAACACTTGCAAAATCTACCTTAAAGGTACTTGTATATCCTTCTGCATCCACATTCCTCTAAATGCTACATTACAAACAGCAGCTGAGATTGTTCATTTTATGGTCCTTTTGCAACAGCTACTGTATAATGAAACTGAACTGTAAAAAAAAAAATTTTCTTTGGCATACACAAGCTTCTAGTCATGATTATGGCTGTACTGTCTCAGCACTTCAGGCAAAAGTCTAAACTTACTTGTGGTTCTATTAGAAACTTTCTGTTTGGAGCTAGCTCCCAGGAGAAATAATGTATCTTTTTTTGTACTGCGGCATTTGAAGCCTTGTTTCATGCTTTTTTTATTGTATCTGTCTAATTACAAAGAAATAAAAAGACACTCTTGCAGATCAGACATTTGTCATAAATAAATTAAAATACAAAAGAAACACAGATACAGTCTTTTGGAAAGACTCTATTTAAATATGACCTCGATTTCTTACCATCCTCTAATTATCCTAAGTAATGCTCCAACGGGAAAGATCCAGGACGTGGTATCTAGCTCATCAGAATGAACTTCTTGTTTACTTTTGTCGCCATAAATATCATAAATAATAATCTGAAACAACATACAATACATACAAATGAGGGCCCGTTTCAACATACAGTGTAGACAGTTATTTTTTGCTTGGAATAAAACCACTTTGTACCCACTTAACTGATACGCTACACATTTTCTTCTTCTATGAAACACTCTAGTGAACTAAAACAGCAGTTGCTGACAGAAATACAGTAACATTACTAGTGGCAAGATTTTTAATAATATACTCTCATTATTAGCATGTGCAAGCATATGCACCATTAAAATACAGAAAACTAGACTAACAACTTCAGATGCTTTCCATTCAAAAATTTTGGTATAACAAATTATTCCATGTATCATACTGATCTATGTGACACAAATTCTGCTTACCTTTCCTGGTCTTGGATTGTATTTGAGACTTGCCCTGTCAATGAGGTTCTGAAATTAAAAGGACATGGAAAACAACTATTAACATCTACAACAGCAGCACAAAGCATAGACAGATTATTCTGGGTCCACTATTCCCATAAATGTATTCAATTGTCACTAGCAGAAACAACCAAGATTTGTTTTACTGTCATTCAGAGTTGGTGTAAATAGTTTAACAGAATCAAACAATCAGCAGAAAGCAGTAAGTGCTAGAAAGGAAGAAGTATTATGGAAGTCATAACTTCTGAAAATGTATTACCCTTTCCCAGCAAACAACAAACTGCATGTCTTAACAGTGGCAAAACCAAAACAGACCTCTAACACAGACTGAAATATTCCCAACATCATGGAAAGACTTTATTCTTCAGTTACGCGTTTGGTCTATGCGACCTTTTCAATTTCTAAATATTGGAAGAACTGCTTCCATACCCTCATCTACCATTGCTTTAAATAAACTAAAAAAGAAATGCTATTCTATGGAAGCAGCTATATTACTTGCTAACTGAACTACAATTTGTAGAAGACTCTGTGATGAAACAACCAAATAGCTCAGTAAGCAGATACTTGCATTTTTTTGACAATACAGCTCTACTAATCTCAGAAGTGGAAGAAATGAAAGAACAATTTTCATACAAAAGGCAATTCCATCATCTTCAGGTTGAAATGTCCTGAATGTGGACAAGTCTGTGTTTTGCTATTATACAGACTTGCTATTATGCATATTTTCCTATTATATTTTCTATTCACATCTTCTGTTTTACAATTAAGTCACTTTCATCTGTGTGCTAAACCAAGAATACTGTATTTTAAAAATTATTTTATCAGAAGACTTTTATTTTTTTAAACTATGATCTTAAACAGCCTACTTACTTTTGATTGTGATAAAAGAATTAACCTTAAAAAGGGAGGAAGAGAATAGGAAGACAGCAATTTTGAATCTGGGCTAATCACTTTGATTATTAATATTACGTGACATGACATCTTACCGCTGACAATTCTCCCAGTTTTGGCATGGTGTTGTCTTGAGACCAATGAATCTTTGGCTGCAACATATCCTGGAGAACGCTTCCAAACATGGTCCCCTTCTCAGAGGAGCAATTGCTGGCAGATTTCAAATACTGGTAGTACACACTTGTAGGAGGACGCTTTAGAGTGGTATCAGCTTTCTGCGAAACTGGCTTACAAGGTGTTTGACTGGGAGAAGCTGCATCTGGAAACAGTTCCGGTTGCTCCTTAAAATCAAGTTGTTCTTTTGAAAGAAGAGGTGATTGTTCAGGAAACAAAGATTGAGTTTGGTCGTTTGATTGAAGGGTTGTTTTTAAATTCCCTCTCCACTGACTGGAAAGACATTCTTCTTCTCTCTCAACATCAAGCATATTTTCTTCATATGATGATTCTTCCTCCTCCTCATCCTCCACTCCCTCCTCCTCGTCCTCTTTACTGAACTGAGTAGTAAACTGTAAGCGCTCAGAAACCGACTGGAGAAGGGATAGCACAGAAGCGTGGTCAACGTTATCTTTAGATGTTCCACTAGGACGGCCTTCTGGCGACACGTCTGTGGAAAGTAAGTCTTCCTGGGAGCTGTCATCTTCATATATCGGAGACAAAGACAAAGGATATACTCTATAGCGCTTGGCCTCCACGCTCAGAAATGACTCCGAGCTACGGCTATCTGTTGCTTCATTCAACTTGTTATCCTTCCCATAAAGACAGGCTGGCTCATGTTTATTTTTTGCTCTTTCACACATTAGATGATCTATATTATCCGAAGGCAGAACAGAAGAAGAAAGTGAACTACTTTGCAGATCACCAGTTGAGACAGATTTGTTCTCAGTTTGAAGGGCACCTTCATAAATGATAGTAAAAGAACTGTTTTCCCACTGTTCAATTAGTGGAGAAAGGGCCAAAAGATCCATCGATTCCTTCATGTCATCGCTACAGTCCAGACCATTTTCTTCAAGCTGATCATTTCTCTTCACGTCTTGATTCTTCATTAGTACCTGCTTCGGACTCTCATTATTTTGGGCAAAAACTGCGTTGAAGCAGTTTTTCCCTTTACTGTCCTCTCCAATAGCAGACAATTCAGGTACAGTGAACAGTGTATTTAATCCAGTATTAACCTCTGCTATCTCACTTGCCCCTTCTACTAGTTCCTCTTCAGTCTCCTCTGCCTTTGAATCTTCTAAGGTTGCTTTTACTCGTGCAGGTACTTCTTCTGCAGCCTCTCTTCTGCAGTGTTCATACAGAATGTCCTCTGCACTGCTTTCCAGAGAATCCCCAGGACTGCCTTTGGATTCACTCTGCATGCTGACACATTCTTCATCGGGCATAAAAGATGACAAATTAACATTTACAGTTGGCAGCAACATGCACTCTGGCATATTTGTATGATTGCATAAATCTTTTAATTGCAATGACAGAAACATCTCTTCAGTCACAGTAGCTTCTCTATGTATTAAATGTAAAGATCCATCAGATTTTCTACTAGTTGCTGACACTCCAGCTTTGCCACACAATTCTGCTGCAGCCAAATGTTCACACACCTTTCTATCATGTCTCTCTTTGGCTGGTGTCGTAAGATCTGATTCTGGCCTTGCTGAACTACCAGTGGGTAGAAATCCATTTGTTTGACATGTAAATGCATTATTTGATATCTTTTCACCTCTTTGGGGCCAATCTATGTCATTTTGCACTGGAAAACTATTTGGAAGTAAAGGAGGACCTGAGCAATCTGCCTTTTCACAGTTTACAGCTACACTCTGAGTTTCCGCCTTCTCTGTTGGTTCCTGTGTTTTGGCGGGTAACTTCACATCCAGGTTTAAAATCTTTGGGGTTTCAGCCTTAGGCTTAGGCTCAGCCTGTTCAGAAGGCCGGATACTCTCACTGCCTTGCCACTGATTGGATGCCAGTTTTTGTTTGGCTGAGTTAATGACTTCATCAATTATTTCTTTTGCTTTTAGTGCTAGTGCACTATGTAGGTCAATTTTATCAGGGATGTAAGATAGTATCTTCTTGTCTTGATTATTCGTATCCACTGTTTCATTTCCTGTAAATGAAGATGAGCCTCCTCCACTGCTCTCATTAAAATGTTTTAATGACTGCACAGCTGACTGGATTTCTTCTGCTTCCAGCTGCACAGTTCCAGCTTTCTGATCATTTAGATCCATATTTACTAAACCATCCCTGCTCCCACAAAGCTGGCAGACACCAATGGCTTGTTTTGCTATTATTTCTTCTATAGCCAAGCGTAAAACCGAGTCCACTATTTCCTCAGCTTTTTTAAACAAAACAGCAGCATCTTGGAATTTACCACGTTCTTGTCCCTTCACATTGGTATCTTCCCATACTTCTTCAGAACAGAGCTCATTTGACTCTGCAAGTGCAGCAGCTGTTTGATCTTCCGTCACAGAAGGGGCTTCTGAGATAGGAGAAGCACGGTTACCAAGATACACCTGTCCCATGGCATTTCTGCACACGCTCTCAGTACAGGCTAACTCGGATGCCATTTCCAAAGATTTCAAAGGACAGATGGGTGATGGCATTGCCTCTGCCAAGACACCGCCGTCAGCCTGTTGTGCGGAGGCGGCCTCCTCTGCCCCATCACCAGCTCTGTGACTGGAGGAACAACTGTTCCCCTGAGCAACGCCTAATGTTTCCAAGGCAGAAACGGAAAGGTTGGAGGCTTCTCTGGACCCCAGAGTAGGTGAAGAGGGCCTGGGGATGCAAACACCCCCCACATCTACTCCAGCAGCAGAATGATTAAGCATAGCTGGAGTAAGCTCAGGTTCCAGAGAACCAGCCGGGCATGAAGCTCTCAGGTCTCCTGAGCAAAGTGGCATCTCGGTCATTCTGTCCTCAGGGATTATCCTCCTAAATTCAGCAGCTGGAAAAATAAAGCTGTCCTGTTCAGAAGCAGCAGACCATCTAGCAATCTGGCCATTTTCAGAGTTAGTGGTAGGAGAAGGCATTTTTCCTTGGTTGTCAGATGAGGAATCAAGTACTGTGGGTGATATCCTAGGCTTATTACTGTTTTCCTTCTTGGAAGAAAAATTAATACGCCTATCTTCAGAAACAGGTACAGATTCAGAAATGATGTCTACATCAACGTCTTTTTCACAGATGAAAGCAGAATGGTTGGTCAAAGGTCTTTCTCCGCATCTCAAGGCAGAATGTGAAATTTCCAGAATGTTTTCTTGTGACTTAGAAACATGAGAGGTAAGTTCAGAGATGCAATCCTTACACTCAGAAGGAACAACAGCAACCTCAGTCATACCAGTCTTGTCAATTTTAGAAGCAGCAGGAGTACAATTGTCTGTCCTATCAATGCTGATTAAAGGGCAAGGTGCAGGCTTTGCTGTGTTATCTTCTGCGAGTATAACTAATGCCTTGGCAGGAATGTCTGGAACAGTTTCAAGGGAAATAGGACCACAGTTGTGGACAGGAACTGAGCTTTCCGAGAGGCTCATCTCTACAGGCTCAAAGGATTTGCTCTTCTCACATTCAAGATCAGGACAAGAAACAGTCTCTCTCACATCTTTTAAACTGACTTCTCTTCTCCCTATAGTTTTATTTTCGGTCTTGCAACTCGGATGAAGAGAAGCTGAGCAATGGCCTCCAGTTTCAAAAGAAGACTCGTAAGTAACAGAGAGAGGTGCTGTCAGCTCATCAAAGTTAGATTTCACACTCTCACACCCATGTACGCATGACGATACATTGGCAAGGTTTTCCACCGCAACCTCAGATAAAACCTTCATTGTTTCCACACCCTCAGTTTCTAGACAAGGTAAACCAGTCTGTGGTGTGCCAATATCCTTAGAATTCTCCACATGGATTAACCGGTGATCATTTTGTACGTGCATTGGTTTCCCTAACTCACGCAGTTCTTCATTACAAGTTCCCCTGCCCATGACTGTATCTTCATCATTTTTAACAGATGACACCGAAGCAGTTGGATTACCTGCGGCTATGCATTTTTCTCCTCTGGACTCAACGCTAAGCAAAGTGGGTATTTGTTCATTAAAATGTAAAAGAGCAGTAGCAAGAAAGTTCTGTGGATTTTGCTCTCCTTCTACAGCTGCCACAATTTCCTGTGTATCACTTTTTCTTGGATCACTGTCTTTATTTGCACTACCTGTATGCTGATCTGCTTGCTGCTGAAATGTAGTAGTACCGGAATGAAGCATCTGGACATCTGATGTTAGCTCCGAGTGACTATTCATTTGATGATTACAGCAATATTCTCCCTTACTCACCTGCAGTTCTTCATTAACTGTCTTATTTTTTGATTTGGGTGAATGTAAACAATCATCCTGCATTTCTTTTGTGGACTCCTTACTAGCTGCTTTACTACAACCATGTTCTTTATCAAAGTTAGAAGTGGCATTTTTGTCTGCCTGAAACTGAGCTTCTGCTTCTCCCAGCAGTCCAACTTCTTTTCCAACCAAATCGCTTGCAGAACTCATGTTAAGTGAATTGGTAATCTGGGAAGTGGAATTGGTTAGGATCTCATTGTTTCTACTACTAGGTGACAGTAATGAATCTAGTGAACATGTCCTTTTAACTTTTGTTGCAGCTAAAGCAGGTGTATGTTTTAAGTCTATCTCATGAGATGATTCAGTAGATGAAGTTGTGATCTTTGCAGTTACTTCATGTTTACCGCTACCCAAGCAATGCTGAGCTTTACCAGACTTTTTCGTTCCCATTTTAACTGCAGAAGAATTTACTATGACATCATCTTCGTGACCTTTACCCTCATCTTCTCCATGTTCTTTTATTAAGTGTCCTGATTTCGGAGAGACAGTTGTTTGGATTTCTCCATTTTCTTTGACCATGGAACCAGTTCTGTTCTCAGTACTTCCTTCTCCTTTTTCAGCCATTTCTGATTGATTCTTCAGTAGCTGCCTAATCCTTGCAGAACCTCGATATGTTGCATAAGTGACTGCAGGTGCTTCTGGCTTCCGTTGCATCTGCCTGTAACAAGGATCATCATTATCAGCACAAAACAGACTATCTAAATAGCTAGTGTGATAATAAAGGTTAACACAAACTGTAGATAATGTACAATACTGTTTTCCTCCACAGGTTAGCACAAACTGTAGATTGCACGCAACACTTATTTTCCTCCTTTTTCTGCTCTTCCTAAATACAGGTTTGTGTGACAAATGATACAAACACTACCTTTTACTGAAAAAGCCAACTTAAACTCTAAGCAAAAAGTAGATATTCCTATAAACAACTTGTATCATTTGGTTTGTACTAGACAATGGAATGACTATTTACAAAGGCCACTGCAAGTCAACGCTTGCAGTGACAGAAATAAGCATACTTTTGTGAAGATGTTATACCCTACAAAAGCAGGCCTATACTTTAAAACTGAAAAAAAACCCCCAACTGTACTAATGTTCATTAAAATACTGAATTGAAATGTAAATTTTTACCCAAGCTGTCAATACATTGTTAAGGAACAGGACTAGGAGAAGCAAAAAATGTGGAGAAAAGAAAGTATACAACAGGGAATGCTTTCTGAACCGATAAGGAAAGAGAGTGAATGGAGATCAGGTAAGAATGAATACTGCTTGAATGCTGGAAGAAATACTGAAATGAGAAGCCTAGAAATGTGACAAGGACTTGGTAGATCTAGCCATTCATCATTCTTAAATTTAGTAGCAAAAAAAGTGAATGCAAAAACTAACAACCAAAAGAATCACCATGGAAAAACTGTGATGCTGATCCTTCACTGCTCTTTCTGATATACTAAGGATAAATTCAGAGCCTGTCACTTTCAATTTTCTGAAAAGGCAGTTTTTCTTCTTTCTTAAAACTAACAGACATCACAGATACTTACCTTTCTTTCTAATGCTTCTGTCCTTTCCCCCTATTTTTTTGTCAGTTAAAGAATACTCACAAAAATCGGGCAGTGACTATATGAATGTGACCGTCAGCTTTTCCATTCTTCACCTTAGGACAAAGCAGACGCCCAAACTGTGTTTAAACTCCATTCTGCCTCAGGCCCCACCTAAACTAAGAACGAACCCTTTCAAACTCTTACCCAGTCTGATCCTATGTCTGCTAATCTGGTGGCTGGAAGTGGCCATTCATCTGTCTGGGAAATTGTCATACTCCTTTCAGAAGAGTCTCTTGAAAAAAAGAGTTAGCTAAGATTTTGATTTCTAATATAAAAGCATTGCAATAGGTAAAAAAAAAAAATCTTAAAAGCATTTTAAAAAGCTCTGCAGCTTACCATTGTTCACATTTATTGAGAAGTTATTACAGCTCTAGAGTTGAGGACAAATAATTAAAGTGAGAAATAGAACATAAATTTACTAAGGAAAACAACAGCAAAATAATTAATTTTGTTTATTTCAGTATCATCGAGTAACTGTAACTTCAAATATCGTCTGTATGAATTTTGAGTATGTGTTCTCTCAATAGGTACAGAAGAATATAAAAATGGAGTGGATTTACCAATCTAAAATAGAATCTTCTTTCTGTCGAGGTTTTAAAGGCACAGATTCTTACTTTGGTATTAATTTTATTTTGAAGAGAACCTAATACTACCTAAAACCACTCCCTTCTTGTGCAGTGAAATTATTCCTATGCATAAACATTAAAACAGAGATATAAACACTCATTTATATGCATGTTTTACATTGCCAGGTATATTTAGGCTAATGCCAAAATATCTGAATATGGGAACTTAGACATTGTGAGAACTTGAAAATTAAGTTTGTATTGGGATTAAATTCATTGTAATCCCTGATGAAGGTTACAGCAGAATCTCGATATAGATTTTATTAGCCAGGTATGTTAAGTTATAAAGGAAACAGGAAAGTCGTGTATAAACACCACGTATCCCAAGTATTTGCAAAGTTAGATGTCTACATTTAGTCTTCTATACCACTAGTTTGGTTTCCGGAGATACCAACAGACACACACGCCATTTGTTTAAGTTGCTGTCTTCAGCATTCACACCTCTTCAAAGAAATATACACATTTCTGAGTGGAAGAAAACAAAACACAGCTGGAGAAAGGGTAGTAGAGAAAAAATAAATGATAAATTTTTTTTTGTTTTGCTTTAAAAAATTACATTATTTTCCACTTCCTCACAGAAAACTTTCTTCTACAGTAGAAAATATTTTCCAAAGCTCCAGAGATCCTAAAAATCTTAAGGGAAGGATTTGTTGAGTTCAATAGTACACTATATTCACTCATCACCAGTCACAGCCATAATAAAAATAAGTCTTAAGAATGTAAGATCTGATGATGCTTTCATTCAGAATTAACCTTACTGAGTAACCTCCCGCATTTCAGTTAAGTCAGAATGGGATCAAAATGTTTTAAATAATCACTATTAAGCTTTTACAAAATCCACCAGCTCTCCCATACTTTGGCCAACCTCAAAAATAGAAGTTGGTCTACAACCCCCCTATCCAGATAACCCTACAATCCAGATAAAATTTCTCTCAAGAAAACAAACAGAACAGAGGTTGGCACCAATCCTCCAAACAAGTTTTATGGATTCTTGAAAATGAAAACGGTAATGACACGTGTTTAAAGTAAGCACAGTAATGGTATTGCAAGGTACCGAACACTCACTTCTACCCCAATCAAGGCATTATTTTGAATAAACAGCTTGATGACAATTAAAATTAAAATTAGCTTTTACTGAGCGTCTTTCATTCTGCTGTTGATATTTCGTCTTATATGCAGTGGGAAGAATTCAGAATTTATCTATAAACACGTGGTGAGAACTAGAGCTCTGACACAAACCTGGAAAACGTCCTTCCATTTGTCTCCCACACCCAACTTTGCCTTCAAATTTCTCCCATGAACTCAGCAATTCTTAAACCCAAAGCATCCAGAAATGGGATGAGTAAGTTAATTTTACAGAATATTGCCTACACAGGGATGACAAGGAGAACCCAGCATGACAGGATCCTATATTCATATTGATTTGAGCCACAGATCCCAACAAAAAGTTATACCATTTATAACACAGGGTCAGGCAAAACAAACATACTCAGATATTTCTCTTTGCCTATGTGGTGCCTTTTATCATTTCTCCCAATTCTTTTTGCTCTCCATTTGCCTTCTGAGGGAATTTTATGCTCCGATTGATCAATTTGAAGTCTGAGCAAGACTCAGAGCAATCTGCCCTATGAAGCTCTGTGCACAAACCCAGTCCTCGGACAAGCACTGGCTACAGCACCACTTCAGCTGCAGAGCCTCATCCTGCAGTTGGCCCCTGCCTGCATCTCCTAACACACAGCTCTGCTTTCCTGCAGAGCTCTACCAAGAGTTTCTGCAGTGGATGCTATTTTAAGAGGGAACGAACCTCTCCTCCACAGATGTGGCAACTTCAGGATCTCCGACTTTTGATAAAGAATTTGCTGCTCAGCATATTATAAAAATTTTGCCAACAGACCTTTTAGTCCTAATGCATTTACTTTTAGAGCACACAGAAGCGTGTTCAATCCGAACGCTCACATGCAACAAGACATTTAAAAAATGAAAACCCATGTTCCTATGCGGCAGCAGCAATTCAGCTGTAAGTCTTATGAAACACATTTCGAAGCAGGCTGTGTCACAGAAAATCTTTTGAAAGTGTCACTAGAGACTTGTTTTATGGACATTTAAAGTAACAACTCATTTCTGATCACCAAAAGAATACATCAGCTCAGAACTTACCTTAAAAACTCTTTGCAAATTTTTTTATTCAACTCATATAAGGATACAGATGAAAGCCTGATTATACATAGAACCCAGTGTGTATTCTGTCACATATTTCAAATACTGGGAGATTCCTTCTTTCCCTTCTTCACAGGAAGCTATTCAATTCCCTATAAAGCCTTAATTCAGTTTCACAAAAGACTGTTTGACAGCAACAAGAGAGGATGTCAACATGAGTTACGTTAAATTTGTCAAAAGTAGGTGCTTGTAGAGATTCCTTCTATTCTGAAAGACAAATAAAAAGTTCAAAGGGGGCTAACTCAAGGAAAAGAGGGAAACATCTTCTGACATCTCATATGACAGACATCTTGTGGAACTTGCCCAAAAAGTGGCGTTAGCTATAAAACAATCTTGTTGGTTCTGAAGCCCTGAAGCAGGAGGAAACCTACTACCTTGAATGCCTCATCTCAGTGTATCCATAAAGACTACATTGTTTGCATCTTTTTCAAGTGTATGTCATCAAGATGGTGACCCCTCCAATCTTCATATTTCTACCATACAATAACGCAGAAAGCAGACAACCCTAGACTATTTTCAGAAAGATGGAGGAAGATCATACAGCATGATACAGCACTACAGGGGTACAGCATCTCAGATCCCCAGACAGCACAGCTTCATTTGCACAGCACGGCATCCACGCTAGAAAGCCCTTATAACCAGCATCACTGCTTAGCTCCAGGCTCACTAGCTCAGGCTCAGCAGTGCCCAAGGATGAGCATACTGCTGGCTGGCCTGTTTCTGCAGCATGCAATGCTTGGCTCTCCCAAGACATGCAATGGCCATTTTTTTTCCTTTCATACCTCACTCTTCCAGATATTTTCTCCCCAGCCGAGCAGTCTCCTGCTTTTTCAAGCATACATGTGCATGTTTCCCCTAATCTCCTCTCAGAAACTCCTCAGAAGTAGCTCCCAGAGCAGAGAGATCTGCAGGCTACAGACTGAAAACCACTGATCTAAATCAGTATGTCTCTTGTGGTTCCTGTCTATCCCTCCCTGACTATTTTAAAATTATGCTATTGTTTATTTTAATTTTTTCCACTTAGCTTTTTTCCTACTGCATACTTAACTGACAACTTTTTAAAATTATGTTAAGGTCCTTTGTCTGGAAACAACTGTCTTAAAGTCACTTTGAAAAACCTTCTGGTGGA